CGGAGATGAAATTTTTTAAGGAGGGAGGTTATAGCGATTCCGGTTTTGACTCGTCACTTGTTGTATTCCGAACTTCGGTTTGTATGGTTTTGAATAGTGATTCATATCTTATTTCCCTTGTCTCCCCTCTATTTTGGTTATTAGATTATAGTTGTGCATGTGGAATAGGTTGGTTGCTTGTTTTTCCAAATCTTTGTTACCCAGATTTTTGCTTCTTCGCTTGAGCGGCCATTCTTCCGCTCGAGTGGGCTTTGCAATCTTTGCTCCTCCACTCGAGCGGCATTTCTTGTGCTCAAGCGGACTTTACAAACTCTCAGTACTTTGCAGGTCTGCAAAACTACTAAGAGAGTGATTTCTTATCTCGAGTAGTGTTTAGGCGCTCGAGCGTTGGTTTGTTGTCTACAAAACTTTTGGATGTGTGTTTTCTACACTCGAGCGGTGAGCGTTCATTGTGTCATGGCGCTCGAGCGGTCTTTGTTGCGCACGAGCGGAACAACTCTTTTTGTGTCTGACGTTCGAGCGTCAACTCTTCTGCTCGAGTGAACTGTGTGTATATCAAATCACGAAAATAACATTTTATATCACTTTTTCATTCTTTCTCTCTAAAACTTTTTAAAAAATACTTAGATCTTGACTCTCTCTTTCTCACTCTCTCTCTCTCTCTCTCTCTCTCTACATTTTGGCCTTAATTCTTTGGGTTCTCTACCCCTAGTGTCTTTGAGAAAAAGTTAGAACATTCCAAGAGCTTCATTTTGATCCGATTGGAACGTGGTCTCAGCGTTGTTGAGGGTTCTACTTTGCTTTGCTTGATCTTTTCTTCTTGAGGTAGGGATTCTCTACACTCTAATATGGTTTTTAACTTAGTTATTTTTTGTTGTGTAACAATGGTGGGATTTGGGAGAAATGTGAACAAACCTAGGGTTTAAGTGTAAAATGGAAAGAGGGGTTTTGGTGAATGAGAGATAAATAATTATGGGGTTTGAAAATGATGTTGTATGGTGTCAAAATTGTTGATTTTGGTACTTAGTTGAGACTTGGGAAAGAGAGGGAGTTTGCCCTAAAATGATATTTATTTTGTATAAACAAATGAAATTGATGTTATAAACATGAAATTGGACGAGTATTGAAATACATGGTGGAATTGAGTAAATGATACATCTCGTCTTTAGAAATTTTAAATAAATCTGTCTTGAGATTGTATATATGTTTAAAAATAACTGTATTGAGCTGTCGGTGGAGGATAGTTATGATTGTTGTAGAAATTGTATGAGGATTAGGTGAATTAAAACTAATCCATGGAATATGATCATGTTGTAAATACATTGGAAATGTATGATTGTTTGGGAGGAAAAATGGGATGTGCTCCATTGTTTAGAAGGAGAAATGGGATAAACTCTATTATAATTAAGTTGGCCAGAGTGTCCTAGGTGAAACTCCAGAAATTTATACATGAGTGCCAATCCCGTAGATAAAATTTTCGTAAAATGGCAGATTGAAGTGTTTGTGTGTTAATGGTGTGATTGTAAAACCACTGAGTTGTAGTCTCATTTGGATTATTGAAAATTGGTGAAATTGGCTCATGTATTGAAATGAATTGAAAGGGAATGAAATGAAATATGGACTTGGTATTCCATGACTATATAAAATGCGAATGCTTTGTCCTTGGCATTATATATGCACATTGCACTTATATCTTTGTTAAATCTCATATATTGTGTTAGATTATTCTTACTAGACTGTGGCTCACTCTATTTGGAAAAAATCATTTTCAAGTGCTGGTGACATGCCTCCATTAAGGCAATAGCATTGGAGGGACTCTCGGGAACCAAGAGCTTTTTTATTTTGTTTCACTTTTTGTATGGCCTACGGCTTTAATTGTATGAGTTAGTCTCACTTTTGTTGTAATCAAGTCAAGATTTGAAAATGTGTAAGCCATAAGGACATTTATTTATGTTAAACTCTTTTGTATTATTAATATTATGAAATGAAGGAACTTTATGCTCTGATTCATGCCGTTATTCATATATATTTGAGTTGAACTTATGGTTATATTTTGGGGGCGTTACAGATATATATAATATCAAATTTAAAATTTATTATTTAAATTGTAACTTTTAATTGTTATGTTGCAATGGCAGTTGTGGTGACAAATGATGGTAGAGATAAATTGTTTTGAAAAATTGGTTAAAAATTGACTTTTTAATTAAATTAAAAGTTGTTTGAGATGAACTATATAAGTGCACGTTTTGACTTTTTAACTAAAAAAGTAGAGAAAATAAAATATGGTTGTTTAGGATAATTTTTTGACTTTTTACAGAAAAATATGTTTTAAAATATTGTATGAAATATCAAAATTACCGAACTATCCTTCTGACATACACATTTGCTTTCGTGCATGTCAGTGAATTGTGACATGCACATTTCAGTGCACTTTGCTTTTTCCTTTTTCTTTTTTTTCTTGTCACCCGTGCATGTCAGAGGATTTGACAAAAGAAATGGTGATTCAGTCTTTTTGCCCTCTGTGCATGCTAACTTTTTTCCATCCAATTAATTAGTGAATAGTGTTAATTTTTTTGTTTTTTTTTGTGAATAGTGATGACTTTTTTTTGTTTTTTTTTTTTTTTTTTTGTAACTTTTTGACTTTTTGTCTTTTTTAGTGGATCCCAAACAAGCACTCAAATTTAAATAGATTTCTGACATCGTTAAAAATTGTTAATTGACTTTATGATTGTTTGTTAATAAGTTTGATCATTTATTATGCAATTATAAACTTGAAGGGGTGTAATATAATTTCTAAAACTATAAAGGATAATTTCTATTTCAAGAAAATCTTACGGGTGTATTTGTAATTTACGCTAAAATTTTTGAACAACAAGACTCATATCAATGATATAAGTGTCACATAAATAATGAATTTTATATAAAAAAAAATTATTAGTTTATATGGTACAGTATTACTCAAAAATATAAGTTATATTTCATGACCTTTGCTATTGGAGTCTGATCATCATATCAACTTTGAGTCCGGATCCTCTCCAGCCAAAGTTTCCAACCGGTCCTCTGGTCAATGGCTTGGATCTTGCCACGTCACCCCACTCAGAAAGAACGGCCCAGATCAACGGAAAAAAAAAAAAACACAAATTTCAAATTTCCCACAAAACAGAGCTCCTCATTTTCAATCTGCAAACAAAAAAAAAAGAGAGGGAGAGGGAGAGGAGACACCGTCCATCTGCCATCGGTGTTGGACCACCAGCCACCATTCCTCACCAGCGACCACCGTCCATCTGCCATTCCTCACCGGCGACCACCAGGTTGAGAAACTAAAGTAGATTTGCAAGAAAAAAAATTAGGGCTTTTATTTGGGGCTTTACTTTGATTTGGGGCTTGCAATGCATATGCATATATAATGTATGCATATATATATATAATGTATATATACACATAAAATGAGGAGCTGATAATGTATATAAACAAAAAAGCCGTCCATTTTGGATCTGTAAACACAGCTATGGATTTTCAAATTTCAGATGCTCATAATGTATATAATATATATATATATATACCATTGTCCATCTGCCATTGTTTTTTTTTTTCTTTACATGCTCATAATGGTTCATTAAAATATATATATATATATATATATTTGATTATGTGCTGTGTGCATCTTTCAGGAAATTTTATAGAGAACACTTTTCAAAAATAGAGGGAATGAATGAATATATACATTATCTTCAACACTTTTCAAGCACTGGCCCACTATAGGAAAATAATTTGAATCAGTGCTTGAATGAATAAATTTGAAAAGTGCTTGAATTATGGTTCTTGAATCAGAGCTAACAATGTCTTAGACAAATTTAGTTTGGTATCATTTTCTGGTTATTTTGAATTGATTTGATGTTTCCATTTATATTAATTATAAATGATAGTTATATGAACATATTAATCATTTTAGAGTGATTTAGAATCTGTTGAAAATCAGTGTGTTCAAAATCAGTGTGTTCAGATTATTGTAAACATTCAGATTATTGTGTTCAGATTATTGTTCAGATTAATGGGACTCATTTCCACTTTACAAGTACACAGGGTTTGGTGTTTAGATTGAACTTTTTTATTGTGTATGATAAACATATGCATGTGAACCTCTTTTTTGTAGGTCAATGTCAATGTCAAGCACAAATGCAAGTATGGACAACATGCATGAAGTTAGACTCGAAAACCGCAATTGTCGATGTGGCAGAAAAGCTATGGTGAAGATTTCTCAGTCAACGGATAATCCAAATTGCCTTTATTTTGTATGCCACAATTATCCGAATGGTTCTAACTTCTTTCAATGGTGAATCCCTCCACAGATGCAGCATAATTTGAAGGTGGTCGAGAATGATATCGATGAAGAACGCATGGAAGTCTTGTCTACTCTTAAAGAAGTAATTATCGTGAATGGGGAGCTCAAAGACATGACTATAAAGAGTAGGAAACAATATAAAGACTTGGCAATGGTGGTTGAAAGAGGTGGTGCAAAATTGAATTACGCTTTTGTTTTTTTTGTTTTGTTGTTGGTGGTAGTTGTGATCTTAGTGTATTTGAAATAGTGTAATGTAATTGGGATGATGTTTTGTTTAATGGTTGAATGTAATGGATTGCAATCTCATGTTAAACATAACAATGTTCATGTTGTAATCTCTTGACACTAGAATGCAAAACCTTGAGATGTTGACAATAGAATGTAGACTCCTCTTCACAGGATATTGTTGTAGCTGTTGAGATTTTGAACAATCAGAAACCTGAGAATCAGGTTAGTGATACCAGTTTTGAGAATGCAAATTGTTTATTGACAAAGACTGGTAAGGCAGCAGAGGAACACCATATTCTCAGTAAGGAGGTTGATATGGATGTTAAAACTATGGAGGGAATGAATGAACAATATCTTCAACTAATATTTTTGGATGCTCATATATCAAATGATAGAATAGAAAATTCATCCACACATAATCAGAATTCATAAAAATTAAAATTTGCAAATGCTTCAAAAGAACCCAAATTCAGATATAACATTACAAGTACAAATCTGATTCAGATAGAACCCAAATTCAGATTTAACATTACAATTACAAGTCTGATTCAGATAGAACCCAAATTCAGATACAGCTAAGGTAAAATTAGATAACAACTCATGTTAAACAAATAGATTACAACATGAACTGGAAATATTCAGCACCAAGTGGATTGCAACAGGCTTAAAATTTGAATTGCCTTCCACCTTCCATCTCTTTGTGCCCATCTATACCCTAAAAAAAATTTAAAAAATAAAAAAAAAACAAAACAAAACAAAACAGCAGGAAAAAAATAGCATGAACTCAGTCCAAAAAAAAAGGGCAAAATAGCAGCACTTGGAGCACCCAAACAGCAAAATAGCAAGAAAAGAAAATCAAAACAGCAATTATTTCTGCCTTGATCAGTACCTGACTACACATTAAAGTGTTTGTTGCTCGAGAATCTGTATTTGAGCCTTGAGAATCTTGAAAAACAATGTCATACCCACCTTGAAGCAGTGTCATAAATGAAGGTTCACCACAATACGGCAAATTGTTTGCCTATAATGAATTAAAAACAAAGCATATTGATTACGTAATCATATAATACCCACACAAAAAAAATACGTAATCATATTGTACCTACAAAAAAAATACGAAACAAATCTCACTCACATTATATGTGGGATATATCAATGAAGGTGGAACTGAAGGAGGAACATTTTCATCATTGTACACATCTCCTCCAACAGATAATGGAGAAGGTGTACCTGTCAGAACTGCAACAGATTGTGAAGAACTCAAAGATTTAGCACGTGATTTTCTTTTAAAGCTTGTTTCCAACGCCACCTCACATGGACCTTTTATCCTCCTTTTGCCCTTACTACTTGGGGCTTTTTTCTTCAATCCTGTTGGAATTTGCACAACATGATTGTTGTCTTGAGAAGCCACTTCCAAGCTTTGCAGTTGATCATTACAACTTAAGAACTCAAAGATTTAGCACGTGATTTTCTTTTAAAGCTTGTTTCCAACGCCACCTCACATGGACCTTTTATCCTCCTTTTGCCCTTACTACTTGGGGCTTTTTTCTTCAATCCTGTTGGAATTTGCACAACATGATTGTTGTCTTAATATGATTAACACAAGCTTTGCGGTTGATCATTACAACTTAATTCATTTTCAGTAACAAAAAGGGCACTTATCTTACTTTCAACATTTGCATCTAATGCAGCGACTTGTGAAAATGCTAAATCATAAGTTTCCTCAGTTTCAGTAGCTCTACATGCTACTGCTCTAAATGCAGTCATCAATGTCTTATACCGCGAGGCTTGTTGGAGTTTGACGTCTACTTCAATCCGATTCCCCAAGTTGTTCTTAACAGCTTCTGCTCTTGCTTGTTTGGTCCACCTCTTCATAACGTATTGTAGAGGAACCTCTTTAAGCTTCAATATGTCTCTCACAACCTTCAAACAGTGACTGCACAAAATCCCTTTCCTTTCAAACTTTGTACAACTACAAGCCAAAAAGCCATCCATCTCCATTTTCACTTTCCTTGCATTTTTCCCAGTAGCATCAACAATTGTGTAAACGGTACAACCCTCCTCGTATTCAATTGCTTGTATGTCTGATTCAACAGAAAGAAAATACTCATCTTGAAACTCCTCAAAAATATTTTTAGTGTACACATTACCCATTTGACTTAATATTCTGAATGGCACTCTCACCCTTGGCAACCTTTGGCACAAAGCATAGCCTGCTTCTAACTCCTTGTACCGCTTCTCAGAAAGTACCCTTTCAAAATGCATGAAAAATTCCTTTAAATTAAAATCAGAACGAATGTAATCCTTCAAAAACGCATTAAAAGATTCACTGAGTTATGTCGTACTCATTCCCGCAGCCCATGTTGATTTAACATATGCCCAGCCCCATTTTTCTTTCACCCTAAAAGTCAACTTTAACCAATGATTATCGTGAGCATCATATGCATCAAGCATTTCCCCCCACTTCAATTTCCATTCATTTTCATCCTCAATGTCAAACAAGAATTTATTTAATACACCTTTCACCCCCTTATCTTGAAAGAGACAGTTAACATGCCTTGATGCATTTTGCATCAAATGCCAAGTGCACAAACGGTGACTCGTGTCAGGCATCACAATAGGTATGGCCTTAGCCATTGCAGCATCTTGATCGCTAAACAAAGTTTTTGGTGCCTTTTTTGACATAACCTCTAAAAAAGTTTGAAATAACCATACAAATGTTTCGGCAGTCTCATCATACAACAAAGCTGCACCAAAAACGACTGTTTCTCTATGATGGTTAAATCCCACAAAAGATGCAAATGGCCTATGCTCTTTATTTAACTTGTAGGTAGTATCAAATGTAACTACATCGCCAAATTGGGCATAATCCATGATCATTTGTGCATCGGCCCAAAACATATTCGTTATTTGTTCCTCATTATCTAACTGGAAAGCATAAAAAAAATATGGATTCTCCACAGATTTTTGTTGAAAGTATTGCAAGACATTACCTACTTCCCCATATGCTAAACTTTTGTGTCTTATGGTTCTCAAGTAATTTTTTTGATCTACTTTGAGAAACCCAAAAGACTGCCTCCCACCAGCTTCCCTACCCATGAGTTCAAAAGATTGCCCTAAACGAAGACCAGACTGCGACGCTAAGTCTAACTCAATTGCTCTGGTAGGTGATATCTTTCTCTGCGATGGCAACAAATGGACACAATCTAGAGATACAAGTTGATGGTTGTGTTTTTCTTTAAAATCAATCACAACAAATTTCTCAGTACTAACATCCAATTTAACAAAAAGACGGGCCTCATAACCAATCCTAGTTTCAGCTCTAGGGTTTTTTGTCAATGGGTCTCGCTTGTCAACCTTCCGAAATCCCTCTTTGTTGCAAACCAAATTTCTAGAAATAATTTGATTAGTAACCTTGTTCTTCTTACAATATTCCCTTCTTATGCTAAACCCCATTCTTGCTCCATATGCATTATAAAAATCATACGCACTTTCTTCTGAATCAAAAGTCATTCCTTCTTTTGGCTTCCAAGCACAATCGTTGTCCATATCCATATCAAAACACAACTGCAAAGTAAAGACAATGAAATGGGAGAAGCTTTAGAAAAGCTTTCTTCATACACAACTTTAGAAACAAAAATAATAAAATTTGAACATTAACATTTGAACATTAATAAAATTTGAACATTAACATTTAAAAAATCAAACAAGAACCTTTAAAAAGCACATAACCTCAGGTTTTAATGGGGTGAGATTTAAATTTAAAAACAAATATGATTTTGAATATTACATGAGGTTTCAAATTAAAAATATGTCCTTGTCATGTTGTCTAACCCATGGCTACCTGCAAGCTCTCTTTGAGCGGAGAAACTAGTTTAGAAAACAAAGGCAAAACAATTTAAAATTTTTTATGTTAATTGAAGCAGTCATTTTTGTTATGCAAAACAAAGGCAAAACAATTTAGAAAACCCATGGCTACCAGCAATCATTTTTGTTATGTTTTTCATACTCTCAAAAGCTTATTATTCAACAATAATATGTCACTATTCTTACAAGTTTCTCTAAAACTTGTTTGACACTAATATTTTAATTGATCACAAAATATCCATATGCAAGCAATGAACCATTATCTTTTTTTTTTTTTTTTCTATAATGGGTCATTAAGGAAGGTGTTATTTCCATGATTTACGCACTGAAATAATTCAAGCAAACCTGGAACTTTTCAAACATCACTACATGGAGCAGAAGCTATTATAATTTTTAGGAATTAATGAGTATTGGTTTTTGGAAACTGTTTATTCTACCCAAAAACATACAAGATGAAACAATATTTCAAACACATTTGGTGAAACTATTTTTGAAAAGTGTTCTCGATAAAATTTCCTGAAAAATGCACACAGCACATAATCAAATATATATATATATATATGAATGAAAAGTGTTCTTTCCTATCATATTTCATGTATAAATGAATGAATTTTTTGAATGTAACAACAAAAATGGGAACAATAACACAAGATTTGCAAAGGGACTGGAACATCACCAGCAAAACTTGCAGCTGAATTGCTTTCTCGCTGGGGCTCTGGTTTGCGGTCACCGGAGCCGGAGCGTTGATGTTCACCGCCGTCAAGGTCCGCCGCCGTCGATGTTTGTTGCCTTCGGCGTTGTCTATTTCACAAGAAAGATGTTGCTGGTGAAAGAACTCAATGGGAGGGAAAAGAGGAAAAGACGCTAAATGGGAGGGAAATTACGAAGCTCTGTTTTGTGGGAAATTTGAAATTAGTTTTTTTTTTTTTTCGTTGATCTGGACCGTTCTTTCTGAGTGGGGTGACGTGGCAAGATCCAAGCCATTGACCGGAGGACCGGTTGGAAACTTTGGCTGGAGAGGATCCGAACTCATCAACTTTGATGTTCAATCAATTATAATTTGTCATATTAAAATATTAAAAAACAAATGAATCTAATTTTTTTATTTTGTCAGAATTCAAATCCTCAAGAAGGTAAAAAAGTAAGATATCAACATTCTTTGTTGTTGAGGGCACAAGGCCACATTGTGGGGATGAACGTATGAATATTGAATAGTGAAGATGCTATGTATGTGACTTTTGATACACACACAAAAACAAAAAAAAGAAAAAAGAAAAAATATGTCCCAACTATCGTACATGCATCATTAAACCTCGGATCTAATGGATCTGGTTAAACTAGTTATAATATGTTTTAGTTTAATTTTTTTTTTTTTTTAAAAAAAAAGGCACTAATGTTTAAGTTAATGGTAAGATTAGGAAAGGGAAAAAGAGGAGTCAAAGATTCAAAGAAATTTGTAAATGGTTGAGTGGAAGTTTAGGTTGAATGATAAATGATTAATACAATACTCTAATATACCAATTACTTTTTTTGTCTTTTTGAATTTTATAGTTATCTTGGTTTTGTTGCAACAAGTGCTACAAACTATTTAGTACCAAGAGGTTGCATAAAGGTTGGTAATACATCATTTGTGAGAAATTTTGATATGTATCGTATGTCTCAATTAAAACATTTATGATTTTTTATTATAATTTAGGGTAAATTACACTTTAACTCCTTGTGATTTGTCCTAAAAATACGGAACCTCCCTATAGTTTCATTTGTAATACTTAAACCCCTTAACTAAATACCAAATTGTAATTTTTGACGGATCCGTTTATTTAACCAGAGCGTGAGATTCACGAGCATAAAAGTGTAAGCAGCACTCTCTCCTGCCAAAAACATTACACTTTTGAACCAAAACACCCTTTCTCTCTCCCCTCATTATATAAATATGCAACAAACACATTGAGGCCTCTGAAATTGCCCAGATTATCTCAGGATTTCTTCCTCACCGCACAGCAAAACTAGTCTACAATTCCACACCACCATCCACCCTCCATCTCCTTCTCATTTTCCTTTCCTTATCACTCGCTTTATCCAACAAACCAAGGCGATACCCACTGCACTGCCACACCATTCCCATTCAGCAGCACTACAGCTAATATATATACACACATCTTCAAAAGCAAATGTCCAAATAAATTTGTCAAATGAATCGGACCCAGTTAGAATTAAAGGAAATTATTTTTTTGAATTGTTCAATAAAAGTTGCAAATTATAATGTAAAGAATAGTTGGAACTTGAAATAGTTTTTACCTCAACTTCATATTTTTTTGGTTTGAGGTGTTGTATGTAGGTGGTTGCTTAAACTAGGACAACCATGGCTACTTTCATAAAAAGGGGAAAAAATATGAAGAAGAGGGTTAAAAAAAAAATCCAGTTGTGAGTGCTGAAAGTTCATGTTGCAAAGACTTGCCATTGGTGTTGGTGGTCTCAACGCGCATGGTGGTGGTTGTGCTTGAGCTTAGTTCAGTCTGGTTTCTTGGCTAGTTAAGCTTACGGTGTGTAGCTCATGTTGTAAAGAGTCTCTCTCTCTCTAGATTTTCTCTCCACGTGAACTTGCCAGAGAAGCACCAAATAACTATCCCACATGTACAGCAGGTGAATGCCTCACATTGGTGTGTCATTAGTGTATTCTGTGCTGTTAGACATACAGTTGTGTGTTTGTGTGTTATAGTTCACCACTTTCACCTCCATTTTCACAGTGAACACATCAGAAAACCCTCCATCCCCTCATTTTCTCAATTCCCAATCACAACCAAATCAAAATCAAAATCAAAATCAAAATCAAAATCGGCAAAAAATAGAAGGTCATCCTAGGAGAGCCAAAGCAGAACGATTACTCGGAATCGCCGAGAAACTCTTGCAAGGCCAAGATTTCAACAGCTCTCGAGACTTCGCGATTTTAGCTCAAGAAACCGAGCCATTATTAGAAGGTCCCGATCAGATCCTGGCTGTAGCCGAAGTCCTCCTCGCCGCCCAGAAACGGATCAACAACCACCACGACTGGTACTCCATCCTCCAAGTCGATTTTAGAAGCCTCAGTTTGCTATGTTTGACCAGCTGTCACCGGTGATGAGGTTGTGAGATGGGGATGTTGGCTTGGTGTTGAAAGATGGTGGTGATATGGAGCTCACGGTGAGAGAGAAAGATATGGAAATAGAGATACGAAGTGATACAAATAAAATGACTGAGTGAAAAATATCTAAGGGCATTTATGACTTTTTATTATTTCTGTTACGTCCGTCCAAATTTACAGTTTAGTATTAAGTTTAGGGGTTTAAGTGTTACAAATGAAACTACAGGGAGGCTCCGTGTTTTTGGGGCAAACTACAAGGGGTTAAAATGTAATTTATCCTATAATTTATTATTGTATTAGTTATAACTTGGTTATGCATAGTACAGTATTATTATGACATTATTTTATTTAAAATCTAAAAAGTCTTTGATTATATTTTATATAATATTTGGTTATGACTTATTATTATTTTCTTAATTATGCCTGAAAAAAAATTAATTATAATATTTATGATAATCAACATCATAAATGTCATAACTTATCTATAAAAATGTGTATTACAACATGACCCATCATTTTGTTACCAAGGATGCTCTTTCTGTAAACCCCACTATTAGGGAAGTCTTGCTCATTGCCAAGGCAATTGGTTTTGAATGAACAAAACTACCCCCCAAAAATTTCACTAGAAAATTCACTATGTAATGTGACTTGGATGCAATTTTGTTATTTCCCAGGAAAATTGTCTAGCAATAATTGGGAGCTTCTTTTTGCATACCAAACACTCTTTCATTCAATTCACATCATTTTTTATTTTTTATTAAAATTGTGTTAATAAATATTCAAAATACCTTCGTCTCTTACCTCAACCAAACCCCAACCCACCATCACACCACCATCGACCTCCACTACTGTCTAGCTCCTTCACCAACCCAGTCTATCACCACTAACCTTTCACCACCCAGTTTGCCACTACGGCAAGAGAGAACCCCACAATCGCAAACCACCCATCATCATGAACCCCTCTCACCGATTTCTCTCATGTGAGATTTAGTTCCCTCTCTCTCTCTCTCTCTCTTTATTCTTAACCTTAACCATTGTTGGCCAGCCATGGCAAAGTAGGGGTTGAATTGGCTGTGGACATTGGAGGAGAGGGTTGGGTGGTCAGAAAATGGTGGAGTAGGGGGTGACGGTAGCAGGGAAGGGTTCTCAGTGGCAGGGAAAGGAGGGTGAGATGTTGCGGCGGTAGGGACTGATAGTGGATGTCGTGGTGGGTTCGCATGGGACTGGCAGCGGTAGGATGGTGTGCTAGGGTTAGAGTTTTGAGAATTGAAAAAAGTGAGAGTACTTTGAAATATTTAAGAATAAATGGCGTGAATTTGAAAAAATTCAAAAATTTGAAATTGAGTGTAGCATGAATTAAATAAATAACCTGTAGTTGAGAGAATATGCGAGGTACAAAATAAAGCTCCCATTAACTAGGCCTGCCTAACAATTAGGGGCGTGCATAATATTGCCGAAATCGTCGAAATCGTCGAAATCACACCGTCAAGGTAAATTCGTTATTATTTGCCAATCGAACCGCCGGTTTTTGGTAAGAAAAATAGAAAATTCTAATGACACTTTTATCAATCCGTCGGTTTCTATTTTTCTTCCAAACCGCACCGACCCGCACCGCTATTAAATCATGTTTTATAAGATTCTAAAAATTCTTTTTACTTAAGTTTACTTGTTGTTCTATACCTTAGAATATAGTATTACATTACTGCTCGAGGGGAATTTTAGATGTCAGTAATCCAAAATAAAGTTGGATTTCAATTCACTTTTCAATCTTTTTTTTCTGGCGATGTTGCAAACTTGTATCAGCTCACTTTTCAATCTAAATACTTTTCAACAATAAATATTTTCAATATATTGTAAACCATGAATGATATTAATTTTATGTATTGTATTTGATCATTGTAGCTTCCACAAATGCTTGTAATGAACTGATGACATAGTCGTTGATATTATCATGTTGTTGCTACACTTGCTGCATCAGAAGAAAGCTTCGCAAGATGCTTAACATTACGGTATCTCTCATCTTTTTTTTACTCGTTGATTTAAGTTTTGTAATTTGACTTATATTTTTTATAAACCGCCAATCTGCCCGAACCGCCAAGGTAAATCCGCCATTATTTGCCAACTAAACTGCCGATTTTTGATAAGGAAAATGACAAATTTTAGTGACACTTTTATCAATCCGTCACCCGTCATACAATTTTTATTTTTCTCTCAAACCGCACCGACCCACACCGCGCACACCCCTACTAACAATAATCCACCGTTGTCTATTTTATACTGTCACTAAAAATTGTGTATGAAAAAATAAGTAACTAATACACAAATGTCTATCATTTTCTAACCATTTAAATCTATTACTCAAACCTAAACAATGGGATTAGTTCGCTGATGAGAAACTTTTGTATTTCATTAAGAATTCAACTCTTCTTGTTTGTATAACTTTTATTTTATTTTATTTTATTTTATTTATATTTGTTTGAGATCTCTGTTTTTTAGTTTGAAAGTTCATTTATAAATTGCTGGTTTATTTTATATATAATTATTGATGCATTTTACTTTGTCATATTACCATACATAATAATAATAAACAATAAAAAAATAAAACTTTTACTTAAATTGGCTTTGAGTATTCAGTTTGCCCTTTAAAATATATTGCTACTAAACACTATTTTTTGTAATTTTTCCATTAAAGAATGGGAATAAGATGATGATGATGATGATGAAAGGTACAATAATTCACATAATATAAATGTATCCTGTGTGGAGATCACATGGGTATCACTTGGGGTGGGGGGTTTGGGGGGTGGAGAAGCAGGTGAGATTCTTATACTGTTTTGTTTTGTTTTGTGATTATTACAATCATACAAAAAGGTGTAGAGTAGTAGTCGTAGTGGAGGCCACCCCTTCAA